ATGATCCATATACTTCCAAACTTCAATGGCTATCTTCCCTCACAACCATATACCAGCCCTCCTCTCTTCTTCCATTACGATGCGACTTAATTCTGATCCATCGATGATTGTTTCTTAACGCCATGCTTAACTCTACTAGTTCTTTCTTCTAGCTAATTAGCAGTATTCATTCACTGTATCAGCTCAATAACATCCACTCGGCAGTTTTTAAATGGAAAAGTTTTATGGCTAATAAGAGTTTCACTAGACAATGCCTTGACTAATCCAAACTAGAGCAGAAAAAGAAAGAGTTCTGACAAAAAAACAAATCTTTCAGCATAGAAATAATCAATCTTTATAACCAAAAAAATAGCAAAGCCTGGAAAGAGTCCGGAACCAAAATAATGCATTTTTGGACTCAAGACACAAAAATAGGGGGAAAAAAGAGTTAGTGACTGTCACACCTCCTTTTTTCCGAAGAGGATAGGAAATTTTTCCAATTTAAGTGACATGCATCGAAATGGAATTATTTATTTATTTCAGAGTCGCCACTTGGGATAATTTATGGTGTTCCAAGTCACCGCTTTATTTTAAATCCCAAATCGAGAAAATTGACTCTTATTTATGGTCTACGATCACAGAAGACCGGGTAAGGAATTCTGTTAATCCGGGAGAAGGTGTGAGGCACTCCCGAGTTCCGTAGTTTTAGCACAGTCGCTCAACTGTTAATAACTGGCCTAATTATCTGATTTATTTCATGTTTGAAACCTATTGTGCATTTTTTATTTTTGAACCGCATTTAATATTTATGGAATTATTTCTGGAACAAGTCACGATGTCCTACACTTGTTATTTTGGTACACGTTACAAACCGCGCCACATGAAATGTACCCACGATTTACCACATGTTTATTTTTATTACTATTAGAAGTTACGTTCGGGTCACATGAAATGCACACCCGAATGGGATTATGTATCATGACTATGCCACAGGAATCGTACCCATAATCACGATAATTTATTGATCGCGCTTAAAGCAAGCTACGATGTTTAAGAGTCTGATAATTCTTCTAAGTCTTGAGATTCTTGCAAAGGCATAGGTTATGGAAATTAGTTGTGCTTAAAGAATTGATCATTACGAACAGTCATAGAGTTGGCATATTTGATTCAATCAATTGCTTGCACTTGTTCTCATACACTGATTCATTACTACGTTAGAGCTTACATGTTCGTGCATTAGTTTTCAACCAAAAGGGCAATGAAATGGAAACAAAAGAATACAAAACTAATTCAGAATTAAGATTACGCATCCAGGCTATTCTATAATTACTTATGAAAATACGATCAATTTACGCCACTTCAACTAAAAGCTAAATCTCAGTTCATGTTCTTTCACTCTTCTTCTCCATATCCGTCAATGAGGTACTGATTTTATCTCTGTTCGGTTACCCTTTTCCTTTCAAGCATAGAATGCTAAACAGGGGCTGGAATCAAACCAAACAAACTGCTTATACTTCATAACACCAGACCCAATCTACAAATATGTTTTCATCGAGTTCAAAAGCATTTTATTTTGTGTTAAAACTAAATTCAAAATCACTGAATCCATACAATAATAGCAGATGCATCAGGGATCAGCCGTGATTTCAGACATTGAATAGATCAAACTAATCGAAGTGCATAAATCTAACTAGTAACAGCAGATAAAGATAACAATCTCACGCTATAATAGATCTGGAGAAAAATCTAATTTCAGTACATTAGAAGAAACCATATGAGGTAGTAGAAGATTACCTCGAAAACAGCACAGGAAAGAAATGTAAACCAAATAAAGGTCGGAAAAAACGAAAATGAGCGCAACTATAATGCTACAGCAGAAACAACTTTTGCCAATAGGTAAGATCCAGCTTAAGAACCCAGAAATGACATAGAAGAATCCTTTGGAATCAACTTTTTTAATTGTATTTGGTTGAAATTTCACTGTTTTTGCTTTCTGGTGCTTTTTCTTAATTTTCTGAAACTCAACTTTCGTATTCTCTATCTATTCTCAAGGATTTCCAGCTGATATTGGATGAGTGTGCGTATTGGGTGAGCGCAGAGGAGTGAGAGTGAGTGAGATCAGAAAATAAAGGGAGGTCTGGCGGCTAGGGTTTTTTAGAAAGGGGGTCTGTTCTCTTTCCGTTCTCTTGTCGCCCTTTAGGATTTGGAAAAATGGGTGTTTTAAAGAGAGGAGGATCCGGTTGGGCCAGGCGGGTCATGAAAATTGGGATTCTAAAGGGATGGGCTCGACTAAACCAATTTGTGTGGCTAAACTATTATATATATTTTACTCACTAATTGACTAATGACCTAATTAATTAACTAGCCTAAGAATATAGTTTTTTGGTTTTTAGATATTTAAATAATGCATTTAACAATGTAATTAAATCCTAAAAATGCAATTTAAAAATTAAAATGCTATGAAATTAAGATTTGAATATTTTTATGATTTTTGTGATTTACGATATTCTTAACATGCATAAACAATGCGAATAAATGCAAAACAAATAAAGTAAACTTCTAAAGTTCATAAAACAATTAAAATTATTTTTGGATTATCTTTTAGGAGTAATTTCATATGTGTGGCAAAAATCAGGTACTCACAATGACCAAAATACATATAGCGCCATTTTAAAGGGCGCTATATCTTAACAGTCGTTTGCCCGTTAAGGTATAGCGCCCTTTAAAAGGGCGCTATATTTGAATATGAAACAACGGCCATGTATAGCGCCGTTTATTAAGGCGCTATACATATTTTGTGGGTCCACCAATAATTATTTTGCGCTTAACTGACATAACAATAATTCAAATGGGTATAACGCCCTTATTTAAGGCGCTATACCTCAAAAAATTCGACCCTCCGGATTGGGCATTGCCTTATTTAAAAACGTTAAGGATTTTATAAAAATCCATTCAAAAAAATTCTCAAGTCTTGTTAAATTTTTCTTCGTTAAGTTGTTTTGTATTTTGTCATAATATTTGAAGAGCAAAGAATTAGGGTTTCATTATATTGGGGGGAAGGGGGTGAGGTTGTGGTCGCGAATAACTCAGTAAGCTATAGTTTATCTCCACAGTGTCATGTTAAGTTGCCACTTACAATGGAGTATGATAGATTGGTATCGTTATTATATAAAAAAATGAGTGTGAGCAAACGTTCGGTGAATCTTAAAGTAACCGGAAGATATCTGTATTCTGTCACTCCGCAAGGGGTTGCTTGTTATGCTGAGTTTAACATCGAGGATGATGAAACTCTAAGTGACTTTTTGAGGACTCCGGGTGAATACCGGGAATTTCTTTTAATAAAAATATTGGAAATGTACGTCAAGTCTTAAGACGTTTGCAATAATGAGGTTGCGCAAAGCAGGGATATCCCTCAGTCATCGGGTGGTTATTTTGGAGCAGTTTTAGCCGAATAGGTTCCGGCTGAAAGAGTTTGGCCTGATCTAAACTTATCTCCACGGGCGAATGAGGAGCGATGAAATAATTTCTCTCCTACTTTACATGATCCACAAGACGAGTGGTAAACTTTAATTTTTCTTTGTGTTACGGTGTTTATTTTTGCTGTATTGAACTTGTATTAACATTTATATATTCCACAGGGTGTACCAGCCAGATATGAATTTTACAAGTTATGAACCAACGCCCAGTTGGAATATGCGTAGTTCTGGTGTGTTGGATCATGGTGGTCCATTCGGGAGTCATCATCAACAGGATGATGTCCATCATGGGATGTCAACACATTACGATTTGTAAGTGAAGTGATATAGCTATATGAAAAGTATTTATCAATTTGAGTAACTCATTATTTTGTTGGTTGTGCAGTGAAAATGAGCAACTTGAATGTCCTGTCCTGACTCAATTGCCCGAAGATGACATATTTAATCGGTATCTGGCAGATGCACAAAATCAGGAAGAGAACAATGATTATGACAATAATGTCGATGAGTCCGGGGATGACACACCCTTACCTGATGAGGGTGATGATGAGGAGGAAGAGAATGTTGGACCTGATTTGACGAGGGAGCATGCTCCACCCTCCGTTAGACCAAGAGTGTACGAGTCCCATGTGCCATTTCATTCAAGGGAGATTCCCTATCTTGATCATTTTCCAAGTATGCCAGATGTGGATGCCAAGCGAACATAAGGTACAAGATCAAAGAGTGTATTACATATGTCCACCAGGAATATGGGTACACTATTACCAAAAGAAAGGCATTTCTCGGGCGCAAACGTGCGTTTGAAATTATTTATGGTAACTGGGATAAGTCATTTGCATCTCTACCCAGGTACATGGCCGCATTGCAACACTTAACCCGGTACTGTTGTTGAATGAAAGCTTGAGCAGAGTCCGGGAATACCAGAATATATATTCAGATACGTGTTCTGGGTATTTAAACCAGCAATTGATGGTTTTGTGCAATACTGGCCGGTAATACCCATAGACGGCACTCATGTCTATGGAAAGTATGATATTAAGCTGTTTATCGCCGTTGCAGTAGATGCTAATGGAAGTATATTTCCCTTAGCTTTTGCTATTTGTGCCAATGAAAGCCAAGAGACGTGGACACTATTTTTGAATCACTTGAGAGAATACGTTATCAAACAACGTTCAGGTATTTGTCTAATATCTGATCGACATGGTGTTATTTTAAGTTCTGTACATAATTTGTGTGCGTGGCAGGAACCGTATGCCTACCACCGTTATTGTGTGAGGCACCTAAACGCCAATTTCTAGAAGGCATATCCCAATAAGGATTTGCATGATTTAATGTGGATAGCTGCAACAGATCACCAAGAGTGTAAATTCAGGAGGCGCATGGAATCTATCAGGCAGGAAGACGAGGGAGCCTATCGTTGGTTGATGCGACATAAGCTTGACAAGTGGACTTTACATGCGGATAGTGGCAGAAGATGGGGAATTCTGACTACAAATATGTCAGATTCTTTCAACGGGTTATTGAAGTCTGCACGAGGATTGCCTGTCACTGCCATGGTGCAGATGTCATTCGAGCCTCGTACTCTCGTCCATATCCCCGCCTATCAACCCACCTCCTTGCTAAAGGGAGAAATGGAGGTGGTGCATCCGGAGCTAATGGTGGTAGAGGTGGCTGCAGCTGCAGGAACCGTTCCTAGGCCCAAACCTAACATACAAAGTGGACATAAAATTTAAGGTATATTTTTACTGGGTATGTTATAATGAATTGAGTATTTGAATATATTTTCACCTGTAGCAGCGGCAAAAATCCAGTAACGTTACGCTGGGTGCCCATGCTTGCCCGACACATCTGCCTGTACAAGTAGCCGAGAACAGCAGCACCCCAGCTGTACTGGGATAAATCATCTAGCCACTCAAGATGATGAAGAAATCTCAAGCTGACTAGGCTCCCCGAAGTGTTCTGGAACAAAACCCCTCCAAACATAAGGAGTAGCAGCAACCTAGTGTACCGGTGAATATGAAGCTCCGGTGTATCGTCTGTGATGTCAGGGTGTAATGCCTCCAAATGCTGTCGGACAGTCGTCAACTGCAGACGACTGGACCCAACTAGTGCAGTCTCTTCTGGTGGCTGTAAACCGGTGAGCTACTGCAGCATGTCCAGGTACTGCAAACCTGTCTGCTCTCTCATGGCATGCAGCAGAGCAACAGGGTGTCCATCAACGGGTAGCCCATACATGACCTCCACGTCCTGCAGTGTGATGGTGGCCTCGCCAATGGGCAAATGGAATGTGTGCGTCTCCGGTCGCCACCGCTCTATCAGGGCCGTGATCAACGACCAATCGAGCTGTAGCCGGCCGATCTCCACAATCTTATAAAAACCCGTATCCTGGAGGCATCTGACTATACGGGAATAGAGATGGTGGTCCCTGAGAAAGCCCCACGTGTCGTCTACTCTCTTGGCGCAGAACGTCTGGGCCAGTAACTGTCCCTCTCATATGTGAGACGACCTATGATCGCCCTGTAACAACAGTAACTCTAGGCTGGCAGGTCCGGGATACAAAGGCGGAACCTCCATGTCGTCTACTGTAAATTAAACAAGATTAATTATATTATTTTACTTTAATANTTTATTATTTTACATGTTAGTTTTATTATTTTATATGTTTGTTTGTAAATTAAATAATTAATTTTTATAATTATACACGATTTAATTATTAGATATTCATATATGGATTCCGGGCTCGATATTTGAGGCCCAGTAGCACCAAGATATCCTGAATTCTTGTGTTCATGATGAGAAAATTTTCTCGATTTATTACTCAACATGTCTGTTATTTTAAATGTTAGTTTATTATATATATGTTAGTTTAGTATTGTATATGTTAGTTTTATTATTATATATTTTTATTTATGACTCACTTATTTTTGACTATAATAACATTAAATAATTAATTTTCATAATTATACAAGATTTAATTATTAAATATTCACATATGGGGTCCGAGCTCGATATTTGAGGCCTAGTAGCACCAAGATATCCGGAAAATATTGTTGTTTTCTCATGTTATTTTCTTACGATCGTTGACTAGAATTGGACAGAGTTTGTGTTTGAACTATCAGCTTTTTTGATGTATTTTTGGGTATAATAGATACTTAAATGATTAATTTCAATAACTACAAGGATACTACGCTAAAGGGCACTACATTTTACTATTCTAGAAGGGCACTACATTACAAATACAAGCGCTACATTAGGCCACAAGATAACACTAGAGGGACTAAAGTAACAATTTATCTATTTTACTAGTCTTTAAGCAAATAAATAATCTAAATCGGATAAAAATAACAAATATTTTTAATCACAAAACATTCACGAAAATACATATACCACCGTAAAAAGTAACTAATTAATATTATTTTAACAACTACTAATAATTTCTCTATTTTTATTAATTTATTTTAGTACACTAATATCATAGTCCGGATAAAAAAAATAAATTAGTTAAATCGCAAAACAATCACAAAACAACATATAACACATTAAAAACAACTAATATGCATTTTTTATACGAGTTTTAACAAAAACTAAGTCGGAATACCTCGATTTAAGGTTTTTGAAAAGTTGAAGATTTGGTGATTTGGAGCCGAAACGAGCAATCCATAACGAGATAATACCTTAGCTAAGATGTGGGACCGAGAATCTTTACTTTTTGAAGGAGGAGTGGGCTCCACTCAAGCTTTTTTGGTCGTTAATGGGGGAACCGCTATCATTCGGGTTTTAAAGGAGGGGGAGTTTTATGTTTAGTGGGGAAAGGAAGGAGACCGTTTTTAATGCAAGTATAGCGTCGTTTATTAAGGCGCTATGCTATAGCGCCTTAATAAACGACGCTATACTTTTCCGTCTTTTCAAATTCAAGTATAACGCTCTTTAAAGGGCGTTATACCTTAACGGGCAAACGACCGTTAAGGTATAGCGCCATTTAAAAGGGCGCTATATGTATTTTGGTCACTAACTTTTTTTTCTACCTATTTTTGTGTCTTGAGTCCAAATATGCATTGTTTTGGTTCCGGACTCGCTTGGAAATGGACACTTAAAAAATAAAAACTTGTAGAATACTGACACGAACATGCAAAGAACTTCAACAGCAATTAAAAAATCAGTTAGGGAAGATTCTAAGAAACAAATTACTCACTGGTCAGATAAGTATAACCCCAAAATTAAAGCAATTTAAAAACAATGAATAGCCAAATTCAAGGACAACCAATTCAAAAACAAGCTTAACTTTTCTCTTGAGATTTCATCAGATTAGCTGCATTTGATTCGAAGAGATAGAAAGATAGATCTAGAGCGAGAGTGGGCACACTCTTCTAAGATTAGCAAAAGGAAAGTGGTGTTTTATTGTGAAATTAACTTGATCATCTTGCTTGCCACGGGAATCTGTACACTTTTAAAACAAAATAATTTGCTATGTACAACCAATCTGAAATTAGGCAATAACACGGACAAAAACTACTACTTCCCCCTTTTTTTAAAAATCATGAAAGATCTTATTTTGCAAGGGCAAAACAGAAATTAAATAATTTTTATTTTAAAAAGTAGTTTTTTAATGAAGATAGAATAGATTTTAGGTGTCGTTTGGTTCATACGATAAGGTGGGATATAAATTGTGACTAAATTTGCCCCATGTTTGATCGTAGGGATTAGCTAATCCGGAGATAAATTTTACACTAAAAAGGTGGGATTAGCCAATCCCATCGAATATCCCACCATTGTACCAAATAACCCCGTAGAGTGAAGCTTGAAGAAGGTAGGAAAACATCTCAAATGTTATTGCGATTATCCCTTGGAACATCTCAAAAACAGTTGGTATTATAAAGCTTAAGGATAAATTAAATTTGATTGAATAAGTGATCCATTACTTTGTCACTAGTATCGCAAGGTTAAGAAATTCCAACACTAACCACAAGGATTCGTGATTTTAGTTTTAACACATTCATCCACAGTTCCAGTTTAAGGTTAAAATTTTAATTTCATTCCTCGGGGCAACTTCTTTCTTTCTCTTCCTTTATTTTATAATTGACAAAAAATAGTTCATATTTTGCAGCTTGAAAACTAAACTCTTTCACAATTTTGCAAATATATGAATGTATTAAGGGGTAAAGTGTAAAATAAAAAAGGATTAGGTGTGAATCAAAAAGTAACAGATAGATTAAGGGTACAAAATGCAAATAACTCCCTATTTGACCACCCAACATTTGTAAAATTTGCACCTTAGAAGACATGCAGACAATGTATGCAAGAGCTGAATATATTTAGTTGTCCTTTTAAATCCATACGACATACCTTTGTCCGCTGCGTGCTCCCAATAGTAATGTATGCTATAGATGCGCATACCATCTCCTCTATTCCACTCTTTAGCAAACCCAACAGGCAATCAAGGACGTTATGTTTAACAATTCTCCGGGTTGCGAACAGCAACTTACAAAATTCAGATCTTCACTTGGTTAGTAGGAAAAAATACATGTTCCACACAGTCTAATTTGCAAAGAAGAGGAATGCCCATTATGGGATATGTTTTTTTTATCATTTTGGGCTCAAAATGGACAATGCCTAGAGATATCTAGGAAAGTAAGGCCCCATTTTGAAGTTTACAAGCACAATTTTTTAGCGTTGAAGATGCTTTTCAACCTAATCTAGACAACTCCAAGTTTTTCTTCTTTCTTTTTTTTCTTCTTCTTTTAATCAAGGACAAATTTTTTATTACCAGCTTACATACATAGAAATTTTGTCCCAAGATCTAAAAAGGCTAAGTTAGTGAATACCAGTTATAAAAAACTAAAAAATAATGTAGGCAAAAAAAGAATGCAGCCTAGATGGCCAGCGCTGGAGCTGGGAGGTGGACTTGCCCATGACTTGAAGATGACAAAGAACCTATTTTTACACCTTCAGCCGAACGATATTACTGTAAGAAGACTTTTTTAAAATATTGTAGTGGACAACTTTACCAAATGGGTGGGTTCTTTGGAGGCTATTAGAAATTAGGCTGTAAACACATCAAATTTGATGTTGAATCAGGAACATGCTAAATTATAATCTCACTACATGTTGTTTAAGATGTTTCTACCTTTCAATCACTAAGTTTATTTTAGTTTGTTCCCTTTTTCATTGGTTAGTTCATCAAAGTGTTTTGGTTCAATCACGAAAGCTCCTTATACCCGCGTACCTCTTTTTGGTGCTCATCTCCCAGCTCACTAATACGTATAACTGTATGGATGGAAGGGGAAATTACAGAACGTAAGTGATCTCTGAAACATCAATTGACGTATATATCATATACAATCGCACGTTAGATAGGAAAAAGTAGGTTAAATGAGGAAAATAAAAACATTCTACCTACTTGAAGAGATCAAGTAGCACCCGAAGAACATCAGCTTGAAAGAGGGCCTTAATCATATCACTACGGCTCATAACAGGATGAGAAATGAATTTTAATCTAGAGCAATATCCATTGGAGGTCATATCTACACCAAAGGAAAGGTAATTGTATATGGTCGAAACCGATTTCGGCCTTCATAATAGACCGAAGAGAGTCTTCATAATATCGAGATGAGATCTGAAGCAACAAACAAGCTTCGAGTTTCATGGACAGGTCAAATACCGAGCTCGAAGTCATTATCGAGTTCGAGTCCAAATCAAACTATGATGAGAACCGATGGAATTGAGATTAAAGGGCCAGAGGCCAACCAATACCGACCCTGAGTCAGTACTGGGCCCCGAGTCAATATCGAGCTCGAACCCACATCGAGCTCTAACCCGGGAAACCGACCAATACCAAATCCGATCATGATCGAGCCAAGAGACAAGAGCTATTACAACCGCACTAAGTGAGGGAATCTCGGCGGAAACTAGGGAAAAACTGATTTATCATGGGTTCCCCACTATGTATTTTTAATTATATCCAAAATAGGATCCCTCCACTATAAGAGGGATGACTATTATTCTTGTAAGGGGTACCAAGTCATTCATACACTATAACAAAAATAGTGTTGATACATTCCTATATTGGAAGATTGTCCTTTTGAGCTTCATACATCATTTTATTTTGCTTGTTCATAAATCATCTCTTTTCAACTTTGCTTATTTTCTCATCCTTTACAGTCAATATTTGATATTTCTACTTCTCTTTACGATTCATGTCAAGTTATACCACATACCCTTAGAACTACGTACAAATTCAACTCATCCATTTTTCAGATAAACAGTAATAAAGTACCCAGCATGCATTTTTCAGCACCTCTTCGTCAACATTTGAAGTAAGAAGGTTACGAAGAGTTGGGAATGCTGGTTTCACCTGACAATTGAATTGTAATCAGTAATGTTTAGCATCAAATAGTTGCAGATGCAAAAAAAAAATCAACAGTAATTAACCGACCTTCTCAAAATGTGGTTTTGGCCTGCCCCCACAAAATTTTGATAGAGTCCACGAGGCTTTTCTCAGCATTGAAATCTCGTTAGTGTTGTTCAAAATTTCCAGCAAAATATCCAAAGCCCCACACTCAATTAGAGCATAATCACGACCTACAACGGATTGAGCAACCTTTCCCAGTTTCTCCACCGCCTATATTTGGAAGGAAAAAACAACCAGTCTGCTATTAAACATAGCTTCAGTCTATACAGCATAGGGGTTTGCCAATTTTAAAACATACCTGCTTACAAACATTACCATCTGGAAAATGCAAAAGCTTTAGAAGAGTTTCCACTAGCTTATTCTCAATCACCAAATCAGTTAGCTCCAACAATTCAGGAATACTGTATATGACAGCCTTAGCAGCTTCAGACTGTGACCACAAAACCATAAGAATAAAGCAAGTGTGAAGCTACAACCACAAGATACTAAATAAGAGGCACAAAAAGGTGATCAACACATCACTATCTACCTTGAGCTTTGATAAATCCTCTCTCCCTAGAATTTCATTAGGTAGAGGAACAAGTTCACCAGAGTCTCGAGCATCTTCTAGAGCAGTGATCATATATGTGAATAAAAATTTGAACGTAAGTGATATGCGAGTTCAAGAAAATCAGCAGAAACAAAGCTGGAGCAGTTCATACCGTAATCGAATAATTTTTGGAGTTGTTTGATTGCCAACAACTTCATTAAATCGCAATCACCATACTTAAGAACATCAACTATTGATGGAACATCCAACTATAAAACCAACAAATCAGTTACCATTCAAAACCACATTCAGACTATCATTGGAAACAAAATACAATCAGCTTGCTAATCAACACACCTTCAGTCTATACAACATAAGGGGTCTAAAACACACCGGATCTGACCGCTTAGGGTCAATCTACCGGGTTTCTAAGAATACAAAAGACTAACATACATATCCAGTATTCTAAGTTTTACCCATCAAAAAGCTAAATGGGTATGCACAATGTACTGATTAAATAAGAAGAAAAATAACAATATACAAAAAAATTACCTCATCGTAATCTGCCTCGGGATCCTTAGACAGTTTCCGAAGACGCTTCGCAGCACCACGTGTTACCATAGACATCTTAGTAAAAATCCTTTAAAAAGTAAAAACTGCAAGAAGGAAAATAGGTAGTATTATGGGGAAGGGAATGGAAAGGTAGTATTATGGAGATGGGAATGGAAGGGAAAGGAGGAAGATAATTGAATCAATGTAACCCTAAAACCGAAAGATAGAAGCAAAGAGTTAACAGTAGTACCATAAAATACCTAAAAAAGAGCAAATAGCTACAAACACAATACTAGCACCAATGGCAAGGATGGACTGAATAATATGTCAAAAAAAAATTATAAACACAACACTAACACCAGAAGGACATGCAACGATGAATTATGCTATTCAAATTTTAACGTCTAATCAAAGTTTGACGTTAACTCAGACATCCGTCAAAGGAAAATTGTTAAGGCATGGGTCCTCCGACTGTTAAGGCAGCGATTCAGAGCAGAAGAGCAGAGAAGAAAGGGAAGAAGAAGAAGATCATACCTGGAACTTAGCGTTGAAGAAGAAAGAAGATCTTCTGAAAAACACTTTGAAAGCAGCAAAAGAAAAGAGTCCAAAGTAGCAGGCGTTTGGATGATTTTTATTTTATTTTAAAAAAAATAGCTTTTGAGTTAAGTTGAAAAAAAGGTAATATGAAATTTGAAATTATGTTTTAACATACTCCCTCCTTTTTAATTTTGATGAGGTAGTTTGACTCGGCACGGAGTTTAAGAAAAAAGAAGAAGGCTTTTGAAACTTATGGTCTTAAAAGTTTAAGGGGTAAAAGCTTTGTGGGGCCATAACATTTGTGTGGTTATAAAAGTTTCTCATTAAGGGTAAAATGGGTAAAATAAAGAGTTTAAAGTTGAGTTCTTTCCAAATTTAGATATGTGTCAATTTATATTGGAACAGACTAAAAAGGAAAATATCTCATCTAATTTGAAATGGAGGGAGTATTTACTTAACAAAAATATTGTATTTTTATGAGTTGAAAAAAGAATTTCCGAAAACTTATAAATTTTCATGACAAATACCTTTTTTTTTAAATCCGGGAAAAAGAAAAAAGACCTATCCAAGTTAGCTTGAATAAATAGAGAACCTTTTCTTCTTGTAACCCTGAAAACTGAAAGATAGAAGCAAAGAGTTAACAGTAGTATCGGAAAATACCTAAACGGAGCAAACAGCTACAAACACAACACTAACACCAATGGCAGGGATGGACTGATTAAAATGTCAAAAGCAACAACTATAAACACAACACTAAAATCAAAAGGACTTGCAACGATGAATTATACAATTAAAATTCGACGTTTGACGTTAACTCATAGATTCGTCAAAGAACATTGTTAAGGCAAGGGTCCTTCGACTCTACACTAAATTCCCCTTTGATTGAAGGATTCATCGATGGATTTAATGGGTTGATTACGAAATAAGGAGGATGCCGTTTCAAACAGTATTGTGGAGAGCAGAGAAAAGTAATTGAGGATTTGTGTAGGTTTCAAGATTGTTGCAAAAATCATTCTTCTCCTTTACATTCTTGTCTTTATCGGCAAAACAATTTTGCTTATCATGTACCAATTTGTGATTTTTGATATAACTATGGCATTTTGGGATTTGTGAAAGTATAGCTTTTTCTGTGTTTGCTAAGTCGTTTGTGATATTTGTTTGCTGTTATTGATTGAATTGATTCCTCTGTTTCTCTATTGTTTTTGAATTGCTTCCTCTGTATGTTTTCTAAGGCTACTACTATTTTTGTGATTGTTCAGTAATTTTCTAAGTGCCGTTGATGCATATTGATGTTTTAGTTGAATACCACTAGTCGAGATATGAATTCAACTATGTTCAAAATTTTTGCCCGAGTATGATATAT